CGTACGCTTTTGCACGACTCGGCCATGGACACATACGTATCTTATCGATAGGAGAGGAAACGCAGGGAGTAGGACTATCTGGACTATATAGGAGAGCCCCGATTAGACCCAATTCAGACGTGRGCCACCAGAGTCAGAGCAAGCACCTTCACGCCAAACACCAGTCCAATTTAATTATTCGGACTTAGAATATTTTACGATTAAATCAGTTGTGCAGTAAAAGTGTTTTATTTACATAGTAATCAAATAAATATCTAATAAATTAAYYACAAATTAARTTGTTATACTTATTACACCCAATCCATCTACCTCAACACCAGTCGTTTGTCCTCCTGTATGCTGGGACGCTACATAATTTACAAAATAATCCTACTATAATTATTATTATATTATTGAAATATTTAAAATTTAAAGTCTCCAGACGCATTCAATAATCTTTGAGTTGGGTGGAAATTAAAAACATTGTGAAAATCGTGATTCTATTTTTTTATATCGACGACCGACATATTATTCGTGTATTTGTTTTCAATTTTTAAAATGAACTCAGTACAGCAAATACTGCAATGTAATTTTTCATTAATTTCGTTGGAGAAAAAGATGGAAATAAAAAATAAAGGTATGCCTACTCCAGATTTAAATATTAAACAATTAAATAAATGTAAAACGAGAGATTATGTAAGACAATTTAAAAATGATATATATAAAACCCATGACTGGATTTGTAGTTATTCAGAAACAAATCGTTTGTATTGTTTTCCCTGTCTACTTTTTGGTCAAAAATCTAATGATGCCGCTTGGGTAAAGAATGGAATAAACGATTTAATTAATTTAAATTCTAAAATCAAAACACACGAAAAATCAATGACACACATAAATTCTCAATTAAATTTAAAACTATTAGGAAAACAAAACATAAGACAACAACTTTCTAGTGCGTATCGGTTGAATATCAAACAATATAATGAAAAAATAAGTCATAATCGTTAGATATTGAATAAAATCATTAATTGTATTATATTTTGAGGAGCATTTGAGCTTGCACTCCGAGGTCACGATGAAAAATAAGATTCAGAAAATCTCGGCGTATTTCGAGGTCTTATAAACTTTAGCTCAGAGTTAGATTCGGTACTAAAATGTCATATTGAGAACTCTTCGGTATTTAAAGGCTTATCCAAATCAATCCAAAATGATTTACTAGAATGTTATTTAGCTGTATGTCAACAAAGAATTAAAAATGAAATAACACAAGCAGAGTATATTTCTGTAATGGCTGACGAAACAACTGACGTATCTGCTCAGTTTCAATTGTCAACAATATTTAGATATTTACTATCGGATGGAATACCAGTAGAAAGATTTTGGGGATTTTTCAATCCTACTGGACACGATGCGAAATCGTTGTCTGAATGCATAATATTCAATTTGGAAGAAGTCCTAGAGTCGCCAGATATGTTGATTTGTCAGAGTTACGACGGTGCAAAGGTGATGAGTGGACGTCTCAATGGTATACAAAAAATAATAAACAATAGCTATAAACATTCACATTTCATACATTGCTATRCTCATCAGCTTAATTTAATTTTAATTCAAGCAACTTCACAAAATCGTGAGATAAGAATTTTTTTTTCAAACCTAACTGATATAACCAATTTTTTTTCCAACAGTCCGAAGCGGGTTACGGTTTTAGATAAAATTGTTAAACACAGAGTTCCTCGATCATCTAATACTAGATTGAATTTTAAAAGCCGAATAGTAAATACTGTGTATGAGAATCTTGAGTGGTTAATTGAATGTATGAAAGAAATTGAATCAACATTTAATCAAACCATAACAATTAATCTAGCTGGAGCTTTGCGTCGGATGTTAATTGATGATGATTTATATTTTGGTTAAGAGTTAGCAAACAAATCATATATTTATTCTTAAAACCCATATTGTTTACAGTTTTACACTTTTCAATGTCAAATCAAATTTGTAATATAATATGTATATTTATTTATAATCATACTTCATAGTTATATGTTATCACTTTATCATGTATATTATATTATGCACCTACTCTATGCCAACTGAATATAATTGAATATACCTATATGGACAATGGACATATTATAACTAAAGCCTAATACTATATTTAGTGGTAATACATAAACTGATAAACATTATGTATTATTCATAGTTGTCACTTACGGTTAAAAAAAAATTTCGTTATAGAATTAAAGGGTTTAATTTCTGAGGATGTGGAGTTTTTTTACTACTCCACAAACGCACCCACGGTTCCACGGGACATTGGAACCATGACCTGCCAGCCGTACCGCGTGGTAAGTCGTGAGACTTACGTCGGCAGAACTGACAGGTTTTGTACACGCAATGACAAAATGAATGTCAAAGATTTATAATATCAAATAATATAGGTTACCCTGAATAAGATAATTAACAATAAATATATTTTAGCGTGACATAATAATGCAACTCCAACTCCGGCCATGATAACGTCAGAGCGAGACGTTATAAGATCATAAGGCTATTATAAGGCTATGCCGTTTAAGCATATTAGTAATATTATGGAGCGCAAATAGTGAAGTTTTTATAATAATATTCTTTTTTTATATAAAATATTCTACGTTTGCGAATATTGGGCAATGATTTGAGAAGAACGGAGGGAGGTAGGAGGAAGAAATAATACATTACATATTAGTTGTACACATGGTCGTCGCAAGTCAGCGTGGAATAAGTCGTCGGCTTCGGCCCCCCGGGCTCATGATGGCGTTCTAGCCCATCATTGCGGTTGGAATGCTGGGTGGAAGAATAATATGGTCCTATGACGTTGGTAGGTGAAGGTGCCAGTGGAGTGGACGGTGTAGATCGATGAGAGTATTATCGGTCGTGTTCGGTCTTCGGTGGTTACGAAATGATAACATTTGAAACCGCATCGGCCGACGGCTGGTGGCTGTGGCTTTTGGACGGCTGGCTGACCAGTGCGGGTGGAAGGGGGACTTTTGGTACAATACCAGGGCCGTAGCGAGTGTGTGGCGACCGAGGCATTTGCCTCGGGCGCCAATGAAATGGGGGCGCTAAACTTTGATACATTTTTTAAATTAAAATATTGTTCTACCAATATAGTACTTAGGGAGCATTCAAAAATGTCTTACTTAAAAAAATATATTTAACTATTCAATTACCTAAACCTAATTGTATTATAAGTTTAATGTATGTACATGTAGGTACCTACTATGTTCAGTATCTTTTGCATTTGAAAATTATTCTTCTAGTGTTATTATTGTGATTTCATATTGAATATTCTACGAAAACATTGTACGTTGTAACGGAATTGAATTATCGTTATGCAATCAGTCTATTAGTATCTATGGCATATGCGATAAACATTTATTTTGGTAAATCCCAGCCGCAGCCGACAACCGCGGCTCCCATAGACYATAGTCCCATTACTCGTCAGTCAAAACACGCTATACACGAACACATTTATTATATTTATACTGGCCATCAGTCTGCTGTCTGCATTTCTGTAATTATCACTATCACTCTGCACTTATTCAAATATCGTACTCTGTTAGACTGCGCCTCTCGGCTCTCAATTATTCAACTATAACAGTTTAAGTATTAAGTAGACAAGTAGTACAACACTACGACTCAGTACGACACGACATGGTAAGTAGTTCAGTAGTTGTTTATTTTAAACTTAAAAATCTAATGAACTATTATAATTTATAATAATACTTAATAGGTACGAATAATAATAGGTATCGCCGTATCGGTAATCGCCGCCGCCGCGTATCACTCCGCCGCCACCAACCGGCTTACACACTCAAACATGTACAACACATTATTCGTTATTTATATTGTTTTATTTTTTTATTATAATTATAGCAATGTAACATACTGTCATCTGTGAGTTATATAATATCATGTACGATGTACGTTATATTCATTGGGCGTGAATCGCCGTTTTTAGTATAAATTTATTGTCGTTGTTATTCGTGAAGATCGGTCGGTTAGGTTAGGTTAGTTAAAAAAAAGAAAAGATTGGAATTGTACGAAGGACAAGACGATGGAATACATATTTCGGAAGTTCAACATCTTCGCATCAATATTAACAATGCAGTTGATGTTTTCATAAATCAACTCAATTGGAGATATGAAAAGTTAATGGAAGTTGCTGATGATTTTGGATTTTTGTCTGGTGCATCATTGTACAACATGAGTACTATAGAATTAAAAAAAAGCCGCGATGGATTTAGCAATGAAATACGAAAAAGACATCAATGGTGCAGAATTTATTGATGAGATTTCCGATTTTCAGAACGTAGTGAAGTCAATTATTCCTGACCATATTAAATCTGCAACAGTTATTGAATTACTTCAGCTGATTCAAGACTACAATTTAAAAGAATCGTATCCAAACGTAGAAATTGTATTTAGAATCTTTTTGACGATGCCTGTAACTACAGCTACATGTGAACGTAGCTTTAGCAAACTCAAGCTCATAAAAAATTATTTGAGATCAACTATGGGCCAGGAGAGACTTTCGAATTTATATATTTTGTCGTTAGAAAATGAAGTGGCTGGGGAAATTAATTTTGAAGATGTCATCGATGAATTTGCGGCAATCAAATCAAGAAAAGTCAAATTATGAGATTTACTTTTTTGTATGTCTATATATTACATGCTCTTTTAATAATCAAATATATATAATAGTTAAACATTTTACAAATGATGATTTTTTTTTTTTTTTTGACGGAAGGGGGCGCATATACTCAAACTTGCCTCAGGCGTTAAATGAGCTTGTTACGGCTCTGTACAATACTACATAATCATTGGGTAACAGGTTGCACTGTCTCTGTTGCCGGCGGCACGGCTGCCTCGACCGACAGTACCAGCCCTGTCACAGCTGTTGTTGTTGAGGACTAAGCCTTGCAGAGGGGGTGAGGAGGTAAGGTGTACAGGTGTCATAACATTGTAGTCTAGCGTGTTATTGTAGTGCGTGGTAGGCGTAATATATTATAATATAATAAATAGATAACCAAAAAATGCTGTGACGTTAAAACTTAAACTAGATATTAAATATGTATACAAAAATATTATCATTATTGTACTATGTGCCTGTGTATAAGTTCTTTACATTTAATACTGGCACACTAAAAAATTAAAACGAATTTTGCTTAAATAGAACAAATTGTCTTCGGGCAAGCGGGGGCGTAGCTATATACATAAAATCAGATAATCCTAGTAAACCATGTAACATAACCACACATTTGGAAGTTGCAGCCGCATCTGTTAAGCTGAATGATATCAAACTCGACATTTGTAATATTTACCTTCCAAATCAGCAAATTTCAACAAAAATGACATTGAAAACATAGTACATCAAATCCCTAAAGCCTTAATAATTACAGGTGATTTTAATAGTCACAGCATTGAGTGGAGCTMAAAAAAAACTGACAATAGAGGAAAAGAAATTGAAAAATTGCTAGATAATGATCACCTTGTACTTCTCAACAACATTGAACCAACGCGCATTAATCCTATAAATGGTGAACTCTCTTTTCTTGATTTATCATTTGCCAACGCAGGTCTAGCTCTACGCATAGAATGGAATGTTTTGCCCAATCTCACCAGTAGTGATCATTTCTCCATTTTGATACAAATTTTACCTCGCAACAATAATACTTCATATATAGACGAAAGATGGAACCTAAAGAACCCCGACTGGCCCTTTTTTACTGAATTCCTAGAACTTGAAATATCGAAAATTAAAAATCCAGAATTACTAAGCATAGACCAGCTAACTGGAATACTTACAAAACAGATAATATCTACAGGAAACCTAACTATCGGAAAAACCAAAACAAAAGATCAAAAACCAAAGTACCATGGTGGAACCAAAACATAAAAGACGCTATAAAGGCCAAAAAAGAGGCTTTAAATAAATTTTAAAAATCAAACAACCAGAATGATTTTATAATACTTAAGCAACTCAGGGCTAAATCAAAATACCTTATCAAAATAAGTAAAAAATTATCTTGGGAAAAATTTATTAGCAGCATTAACGACAAAGTTGACAGCCAACTTATATGAAATAAAATAAAATCCTTAAAAAGTCTCAGCAGAAATAACAAAATCCATTTAGTGGACAAAAACACAAATGAACTAATGATCAATTTCGAATTGATTTCAAACAAATTTGGTGATTTATTTTACAACAACAGCAGCGACAGCAACTTCAACAGGGAATTCATACAATTAAACAAAATATTGAAAAGTTAAAAATTGTCAATACGAGAATCAAAACGACCAAATTCAATTGAACCTCCCAATAACCTCTAATGAAATATTTTACTTCTTAAAAAAAATGTAAAAGCATTAGTCCAGGTCCCGACCAAATGCCTAATGCATTTATACACAATTTCGTTGTTAAGACTTTCGATATTCTTACAACACTTTACAACAAAATCCTTGTAGAAGGAACATGGCCAACCTCTTGGAAAAGTGGTATATTTATCCTTATCCCAAAACCGGGTAAAGACAAATTCCGCACAGAAGGGTACAGGCCGATCGCCTTGCTCAATATAATGTGTAAGCTGCTTGAGAAAATTTTAAATCACAGACTTAACTGGCTATTAGAAAAAACTCCTCTTTCTCCCCCCATCAGAATGGATTCAGTAAAAACCGGGTTACTATAGACAATTTGATTGAAATTAAAGAGGAAATCAATCAAACATTCAACATAAAACAAATCATGGGTTTAATAAATCTAGACATCACCAAAGCTTACGTCTCCACTTGGACGTACAACATTATAGTAAAACTCGACAAAATAATATACAAAGGTAATTTTCTAAACTTAATTACCAATTTCCTAGAAAAACGTACAT